TACCCTTCTCCTACAGAATACGGAAAATCGGAAGGGGGCGCTTTCTTTCCGTCTCAGAGATGTTCTAAAACTGGACCGGAGCTCTGAAAATAGCCCCTGTGAGTTTATATTAACGGCAAATACCTTTGCAGAAAAGCAGAGAGGGGCGCGCTGGGAGTTTGGGAAGGCGGTGCTGTCGCCGGCCTGGTACTGAAAGCGCAGTATTGGAAATCCATACCAAGACTGTGAGTGAGTGTTGGGGCTGGTGACAACAGGACGCCCCCTGGTTTATAACACACTGCTAGCGCTCCAACAAGGTATACCTCTCAAGCTCTTGGGGAAGAGGCTGCCTTAGACGTCGAAAGGGAGCCGGCCTGTCTACGGAATCAAGCGCGCAGCCGAGGTCTTTGAGACCAATTTAAATGCTGTTGTTTTAAAAACATCCAATTAACCTCCGAATTTAGACATTGATTAAAAAAAAAAAAGCCACATCGCAAACTGACCACAAGGGGGCAATGTTTGGCTGTTAATCAGAAGCGCCCCGTGTACGTTTCTGTTGAAATAACAATCCAACCAGCTAGGTACTTCTCTGCTTCAGTGTGTCGCTGAGGCAGAAAGGACTGATAACCAGGTGTGTTCGTTTTTCTTACTAACTGAATCCTTTGATGGGGTTTATCGACATTAACGGTTTACGGTGCGGTAGGCGGACAAATGCAGACGCACCGTAACACGGTAACAAAACCGACCACAGACGTGTCGGTGACGCGGAAATGAATGTATTGCTCAGCGTGACGGTGCCGCTCGGTGACTCAGCCCACCTGTTACTGGGCTGCACCAGAACCTGACCCCAGCGCTCAGAAGGGGTGACGGGTTACAGAGTCGGTCAGTAACCCGATAGCACGTGGTGACGTGCAGATCGCACTCCCCTGCTCCACCTGCCAGCAGGAATACTGGGCTCAGTATAATAAATAGGTCACTGGCACTTTACCTACAAATTGTCCTGACAAAAGGAGGAGCAGAAGAAAGTAATAATAATAATAATAATAATAATAATAATAATAATAATAATAATAATAATAATAATAATAATTCCTCACACTTATAAAGCTTTACAGGTCACGGGGGTCCCCTCCACCACCACCAGTGTGTACCCCCGCCTGGATGATCAGACAGCAGCCAGAATGCGCAGTACGCTCCCCACACACCAGCTCCCAGAGAATGAAGCCAGTTCAGAGAGGGGGGTTATTAGGAGGTCATTGTTGTTGTGCAATAACAAGGTCACGTGTGAGATCAAGGGATAACTCTTACAGTAATAACTGCACTTTTCCCTTAGTGCGGACCTACTCTTTATGTAGGTAAGTACAAATACTATCGATTCTCCTACTAATACAACAACTAATGTGTACAATACTACTTTCACTAGTAATGCACAATACTACGAATGTGTGCAATACTACCACTGCTGTTTCCATTAATAATAACGTGCGCATTGTTATTTGATGTGTTTGGACATCATAATAAATCATGTCGTTTTCTTCAGCTTCAGCGGAAAACCATCCGTATAGATCCCCACGTCCCCCTCCGCATGGCAAACAGGTGCCCGGCCCCGTGCTCTTATCCAAGTCGGGTTTTGCAACGATCTGGACTTCTGCTGGAAACATTCCTTGAAGCCGGCTAACGCGGGAGAGAGAAGAGACACGCTGGGACAGAGGCGTGACCCCGCTTATTCGAATCTGCAGCGAGGCCGAAACCGATAACGCGGCTGCTGGCTGCCAAGCCTCACGGACAGCCAAATATGGCCAGGAAACCGGGCTATTTTAACATTGGACATCCCGTGACTCTTTTCCGCCCGTCTCCCTGGTCGAACCGCCCCTCTGTCAGTCTATAAGTGGAGCAGAGCTCCGTCTCGACAGCCGCACAAGACCCTGATCCGCGAGCTGAATTCTAATTACAAAGTAGTAGCCTAAACAGTAAGTATAAACGCTGTGTTGAAAGAGCTGAACTTGTTGGAGGACAAAAGAAACTAAAATAAATAAACCAAACACCGTGTCAAAAATGGTATTTGCACCAATGGTCACAATGTCTCTATGTGGCACAGACTGCCTAATGACTTGGTTAAAATATTTACTGTGTACATGTGCTTTGTTTCTAAAACAATGTTCCTGGTTGCTCCAGGAATCCCCGGTGTTTAATAAAACTGTGAAAATAATGGAATTGTCTTAAGTGGTTGTTCATATATAGGTTTCTAGCGTATTATTCTCTGCTGCTTAAAAATATATATTTCATTTCACTAATCTAGGTGTGCAACGCGGCCCTTTGCTGCCACTTGTGTGATTAAACGAGAGAGACGGTGTTTACTGGGGTTCCAACATCAAAGCCCTACAAGGAATTGTGTGCGTGTCCGTTTCCACCTTATATCCGATGCGTCGTAGAGAACGGAGACTTAACGTGACTTAAGGAGACGCTGGTGACTTTTTTCCCCCTGATGGTCTCCAGAGGGTCACTTGTTTTTACTCTCTTCGCCTTGGGAAATGTGCTGTCTAGTAAAGCACCAGCCGATACAGCTTGGTTTAATGCGCGATACCGTCTCCAAGTTGGACTTGGAAAACGATCTCACAAAGACCGTCCCTTTCAGGTGTTTGCGGGGCGTAGTTTAACACACTGACTTGCAGGAAGATACAGGAAGAGGAAAAAAAACCGTCGTCTTTTTCCTCCCCCCCAGACCAAACTGGATGCTACACGGGACAGACACGCTTCTTTCACAGATGCTTTTAAATGGCCAAAAAGCCACTACATTGTGCCGTATTCATGTAATCTGCGACCGCTGCTTTTTAGACAATAGGGCACTGAAATACCCTCGTTATGGCTCGTTATGTTTTTCACCTGCTGCTAAGAAGGGCGGATATTTCTCCCTCCGAAAAGACCAGTCAGAAGCTCTGGTCCTGCGACCTTGACTGTTTTTCACAGATAAGTTCTTATCGCTCTTTGTTCAAAGCGAAATGGACTAACACCTCTTGTGGGATAGATTAATTCAGACTCCGACACTGTGCTACACGTGACGCCCGGCTCTCGTGTTGCCAGCACTCCCTGAGATAACCGACCCCTCTCCCCCACTCTCACTCTCCCTCCCGTTTGACCTTTAAAAGCCAAGCGTGACGCTTTGCAGTTCACGCAGAGATGTTAAATCAGCGTTTACTCACCGATATCTGATCCCACGCCATTCGGGCAGAAAAGAGGAGAAGTCCTGTTAGACCCATTCTCCAGGATGGTGCCTGAGATGTCTTGAATAAATAGTTCCTATACCACTCTATCGAATATACACGTACACACAACACCATGAACCTCCAAATCAATAGCACTATCTCCACAATAAGCAAGCTACGCGGAAACCAGTTGCACAACCATTATGACCAGAAACAGGCAAACACCAACGTCGCCTGTAGATTTAAAATGTGCTGAATTAATGACGATACGGAGTACTGTAGGTGATGCAGTATGCAAACCTTTATCGTAGATGCTGCTGTTTTTAAAATAGCGGGGGTTTGGGATTCCATTAAATAAGCCAATTAACTGAATAATACTAATGATTCAGTAATAGCTAAAATGTAGTGAGATGGGGTTGGACATGACGAGGAGTGTTGCGCGAGATTACTCAATAACTTGCCCTCTGATTAAAAAGAACATTTTTAATGATAAAGCGTTAATATTATGAAAATAACTGCAAAATAGTAAGAATACCGTCTACTTGCAGCATGCGATGTATCTCGTAAATCAAAATAAGGGGATCGGCGCATTATTTGGAAAGCACTATGTTTATATAGCACCCTTCCTCACACCTGAAGAAGACGTCACAGCCGAAGCGTTGCGTTTTCACTCTTCTCTTTTCAGCATAGAATAAACCTATTGCTCGTTCCTTTGCTGCGTATATATAGTTTGCATGCAATTCCATACTCGTGGAGGGTGAAGCGGTGACCTATACGTCAGCGATTGAGGAATTCCCGAGGCCTGCTGAGCGCAGACAGGCGGGGGGGTCAGGCAGCAGTTACACCGGGCGCCGTTATGACCAAGGCCGCGTTGTGGCCGGTCCACAGGTGCGCGTGTGTTAAAGAAGTTGGGGTATTTACCTGCGCAGATTCTGCAAAGCCAACAGCTAAAGGTTTATTCCACGCCGAAAGCAAAAGAAACAACGTTTCGGCTGCAGCGCCTTCTTCATACCTGAACACACACCTGTCCCTCGTGTGTGTTAAGACCACATGGTAAAAAAAAACGGTCACACCTGGTTTTATGTCTCTGGATCACTGCTAAACTCAGCCCCTGGGGCAAAGCAATTAACAGTGACGAAACAGCAGGACTGCCTTATTGATTTAAAAAAAACGTGTCAAGAGTTTTGATATCTGACGTTGTTTTGCTTTACACCTGCTTTGGTTTCCCGGCTCCGGCGCTCACTTTGTTAGTGAGAAATCTGCTGTTTCTTGTGAGCAGTCAATGTGATACGGACCCTTTTTTTCTCCGAGAGAAGGGTTTACCTATACCTACGCCTTTCTTTTATGGTCGATATGTTTTTCTGAGTGAGTGCAGAGAATTACTGTACATGTAGGTCAAGAGCTTGAAAAGACCCGGTAATATTGCATAGCAAGTGAAAAAAAGGACTCTGTTGTGTCCTCTCAGATTGCAGTTGGCCTTATAAGGTGCAGACTGTCTGTGAAAGCGCTCAAATTAAATGGTATTATTATCAATACAAATATTAAAAGACCAAAGTTTTAACAGCTCGCGATGCAGTTACACGATGTGGCCGCTATGAGCGTCACGACACCACGTACAAGGAACAGAAAAGGAAACGCGAGAAGTGCCTTTGGACCGCAAGAAATACGAGAGCAACAGTATTTCCAATCGATTGGACACCCTAGACTCCCGCACTGAAAGTCCGGCTTCAAAGTTAACCTTTCCTCCTCTTACTTTATTAACCAGTGGTGAACAAAAACCGAAACCAAAATAATTACATGGCTTTTTAGAAAGCAAGCCGACCTTCACCCTTGAAGCCTGTGGGGTCTGGCATATACAGTATATCATGATCAAGTTCCAGGCCTGTCAAAAATAATTTTTGCTTTCATTCCACAGATAGAGTTATCTAAGTCTCAGAGTAGGCTTTCGCTTAACCCCTCGCTAACCTAAGGTTTTCTGCTCCTCCTAGGTTTTTGGGATCCTAAGGGCTAGATAAAGCCCGCAAAGGCCAACTGAATGCTGTCCCGTGACGACCACCTGAAAAACACAGTTTTAAGTGGTAACTCCACATTGTGCATGCATTTTTATTAGCCAGGATTAAGTATAAGTAAGTACAGATATGTGTGATTACTTATAATTTAAGTGGTTCAGGTGGGGAGCTGCGTCAGCATGCATACGCTGCAAAGGAACAAGTAAGAGGTTTATTCCACACTGAAAAGAGAAGACAGAACACACAATGTTTTGGCTGCGAAGCCTTCTTCAGGTGTGAGGTGGTCTCACACCTGAAGGTGGTCTTGCACCTGAAGAAGGCTTCACAGCTGAAACGTTGTGTTCTCTCTCTCCTCTTTTCAGCAGGGAATAAACCTATTACTTGTTCCTTATATTTTAATGCTTTTCTGGGAAAATGGACCCCTCTATCGCACTGCAGCAGACTTACATCACCCCGAGGGTTATATTGTGAGAAGAGGCCACCAGCCCCCATGTCTCCCCCCTCCCTGTTCCAGACTGAGAGGGGAGACTCCCACTCTCTGACCAGTGTGAGCACAGCTTTGGAAATTTCTAATTTAAAACGTTAAACCCTTTTTTTTTGGCAAAAATAAATTTGATCACAGCACTGATTTATCAGATGAAATTATCTTTTTTTTTGTTAGAGCCTTGATACCGAGTTTAGCATCGTTCCATCCCTACCTTCATTGTTCACACACGGTGTTCTCCCCTCTTCCTGGATCGTGAGCTATTGTGCTACCCCTGGGGCCCTGCAAGCTCATTTACAAATACACCTCTTACCTCACTTCATTACCCTCCTTCACACAGGTGACTGGCTGCACAGAACAGCAACACCAGTCAACAGGTGCATTACCATGTCCAGCCCCACGCAATTTGTGGGTGTGATCTTTGTCGTCGTACTGGAGAGGAATTCTTAGAACTGTTGAATTAAAGTGCAACCACAAACAGAGAAATGGGTGACAGAAGAGATGAGGAAACACTTACTTTCCAGCTTGGCTAAATAAAATGAATTCATTAAAGGAATCGAACGGGCATTTTTCATAAGCCAGCCACGCATTTCATTCAGGAAAATGAGCCAGTGGGGAGCAACATGCAATGCTTCTGCTTTAATGTAAGTATGAAAAATTGCAGTAAGTGTAGACAGGTTTATACAGGGTTCATAGCAAACCTAAGAGTTGTTCTAAAATTGCTTTCGTGTTTGAGCTGGCAGCATTTCTGGAATCGCAGTTGGGTGTAGTTTAAAGAGCAGCCTGTTTCATGGTGTTTTCCAGCGACTGGAGCTGTGCTGTGTCTGTTGGGATCTTCAAGGGTATCGTTGGTGTAGCAGTTAGAGAAGACAGGAGGGGGGGTCTGTGAGAAAGCTGGCCAAGTTGCCAGGGTGCACAGACGCACGCGGACCTCTCAAATTCAGCCCCTGCAGCTCAGTGCCTCTCCAAGACCACTGGCAAAGGGCCCTTGACCTATTTTGTCCCGTGTGAGAAAATGCTCAGGAGACTCCCGCCAGCCTGCTGAGGTCCCTTCGTCTGGCCAGTTATCATTGCGAGACGAGAGGTACCTGCTGCTCACCGTGCTGTTGAAGCATTTGTGGCCACTGCCAAGAACTGGAAAGAAAAAACAGCAACCTGATGCGTGAAACTGGATGATTCAATTATCATCAAGTGATGAATGCTTGAAAACAAGCCTTCGGGTGTAGATGTTTTGCAGAATCGTACCAAAAGCAGAGCACAATATTAAACAACACAGAAGCTCCAAGAAACTGATGTAAGAGAGGGGCAGAGAAGTAATGGAAAACCACACTTTCACCCATGACACCTAATTAATAGGTAATGACCTACCTTTTATCTGCTCAGCTTTGTTGTGCAACCACTTATGACTATTTTATTTTCTGAACATAAGCAATATTAGAACAGCAGAGAGTGAGCTGTGTATTGCCCAGATGAGAAGCGCAGGTGTCTGTCATGTGTGGGCCTGCCTGGGCAC